ACCGCGGAGACTTCTGGGAGTGTCACTGCCCAAGGCGTGCGCAGACTTCCTGGGTCGCCGTTTTGGCCTTTGTTCGGCCGTGAGTTTGTTTGGTTTAGGGGTTCCTCAGTGTAGAGCAATTGTGGGACCTGAACTTGTGAGACTCGACTAGTCTGGGAGGCCGAAGGGAAGGGGTACTGGGAATCTGCAACGCGATTGGGGAGGTTGAAGGCGGAGGAATCCTGAACATAAAACGGGGTGGAATTTCTGCTGCTAGGAAGGGGTTTCTGTTGCTGAGAAGGGGGCTGATGTTATTCTGTGCTACTTAACTGATTTCTGTGTGGTTCGGGGAGTGAGGAGAAGGGGAGGCGGTGAGGCCAGCTCTGCAGGAGGCAAGTAATGAAAACTCGGGGGTGTATGACTTAGTGTGTTGGTGATACTAGGAAGAGAGAGAAACTGGATTCAGGATTTTGTGTCTGTGTAACTGATAATTTCATTGAGTATCACCGTATGTATGATTGTATCTTGGAAAATAATCTGAGCCTCGTTGTAAAACGGTAACAAGAATACTTCCTTGAAGTATTTTTTGTTGTTATTGTTAAGGTTTGATGGAACAAAGGTTACATTACTGAGCTAATAAATGATTTAAAGCTTGACTTTCATGTAAAACCAGAAGTATCGATTATGGGTTAGAAATAAAAGCGCTTTTTTTAGAAAGTCGGTTTGAAAGGGGCTTTTTTCCTTTCTTCTTTTTTTTTTAAAGTAGGGCGTTTGCTCTTGTACAGCCCAGACCCTGGGGTCATAGCCGTTCAGTCTTGTGTTCTTTTAATGTCCTCTGGGAGAGATGCATTTCTTAAAGAACTGATTTGTGAATTGTTGGACCAAGAAATAACTTTAAAATTTGATGGGCAGTATCGGCCATTGAAAACAGCAGAGAAGTGAATTGTTGTTCAGTGGCTAAGCCCTGTCCGATTCTTTGCGACCGCATGGACTGCAGCACACTAGCCTCCTCTCTCCTTCACTATCTCTTGGAATTTGCTCAAAGTATTTCTTCTCAATTTTTGGGAGGAGTTTGAGAAATATTGACATTATTTCTTTAAATGTTTGATAGAATTTGCCAGGAGTCTTTTCTCTATTTTTATCTAGCTCAAGTTTTATCAATTTTGCTTATTTTTTTGAAAAACCGGCTCTTGATTTTGTTGATCCCACCCTTTTTTGGGGGGGGACTCTTTATTTACTCTGTCTTTATTATAATTTCCTTACTCCTGGGCTTAATTTGTTCTTCTAATTTCTGGAGTTGTGAAGTTGTTTATTTGAAACTCCTGTCTTTCTGTGAAAGACACCTATTTGCTCATCTTAAAAGCTGTGGCCTGGGACTTCCCTAGTGGTCCAGTCCTGGACTGGACTCTGCAGTCCCAATGCATGGGGTGCGGGTTTGCTCCCTGGTCAGGGAATTAAGATTCCCACATGAAGGGAAAAAACAGTAAGAGAATATCATTGTAATATCCCTACCTTTATCATCTTTTAAAATATAAAGATATAAAAAAAATAAATAAAATATAAAGATATGTTAAAGTTATTTTAAGAAAAACAAAAAGATCCCACATGTTGCACAGTGCAGCCAAAGGAAAAAGAAAAGCTGTGGCCTCAGGGGCATGCTTCTCATTTAACACATATCCAGAGGGTAACTGCCACTGTCCCTAGAGACTAGGTCACCAGGTGGCCCCATCTTTATGCTGTCCCTCTGCCCCTGCATGGTTTGCTGGAGTCTTCATGAAAGGAGCTTGTGCAAAAGTCTGACAGCCCGGGATGGGGGCTGCTGACCAGAGGACACAGTCCGTATAGCCTGACTCTGGTGGCCAGTGGGGCTTGTGTTCATGGGTTCAATGGCACAGTAGCAAAAACAAAAGTTCTTAACTGGCTGTTCCTTCAGGGGTTATTAGTACAGAGGGAGCAGACAGAAACACCCGTCTTTCCCAGTCTTCCCCCAAAAGAGGTGTATTTGCATCCTTTAAAAGTTGCTGTCTGACTGTAAGATGATAGAAAGGGTGCTAATTAGTAACAGGAAAACATATGAAAGTATAAATCTCACTGGTAAAGGTAAATATTTAGTTCAGTTCAGAATGGTGTTGTAATGGTGGTGGGTTCATCACTTATAAATCTAGCAAGAAGGTTAAAAGACAAAATTAGTCTGCTGCCAAGCCCTGGGAGAATAGCCACAGTGATTCTTCACGAGACAGTTAAGGACAGTTTCTTAGCTCACTATAACCTTGTGGGTCTCGTGGACATTGGCTTTCAGAGATAGATAATTTGGGGGCCTGTCTCCCAGGTGGGATTCTTAAAAGTCAGGGTGCCAAATACATAGTCCAAATCCTTTACTCCTCGGGGAAAAGCTGGGAGTTGGGTTCTCTCCTGATTGATGAGTCGCAGTGCCAAGGTTGGGGTTTATGGCAAGTTTGTGTCTCAGACTTGACTACCTGTTTCACTGTGGACGTTTTCTTTTTCCTGATATGTGGGAGTCACTCAGCTACTGTCTAGATTTCTTTCAGAAGTCTCTCAGCTGATTTCTGGATTTCTTTCAGGAGTATTTATTTCACAGGTAGCTGCAGATTTGGAGTGTCTGTGGGAGGTGGCATATTGAAGAACCTCTTGTGTTAACTTCTTGAACCCAAACCTCCACTGGCTTCTTAATCTGTCTTAATCACTGAGTTATTAATCTCCAAGGGGGCTGAGTGAGTGAGTAAAATGTGGGTATGACCACTGGGATGGTGGCTGTAGTACAGCAGGAAGTGCTTACTGATCATCTGCAGTCCTCTCTCGTGACACTTCCAATTCTGCCCATCTCATTACTGCCTAACAGAAACTTCTTCCAAGTTCCAGCTGTCTTGGGTCAAGGCATTAAGTCCCCTTAGTCTGGAGAGTGAGCATTGTTTTCTTATTTATTCTTATAGATCGTGTTGTGGCAAGTTTGGATTTTTCTCCTTCCAAAAGCTATTTATTTATGGAAATTACTATAAGACAAGATCATAAAAGCATAGGATAGTCTGAAATATTTATATATCAGTGTGTATGTGACACTCGGTGCTGGGGCTTCTGAAGAGGCCAAGTCTCTATCACCCCATTTCCTCCCATGAATTGTTATTCAACTAAATTTAGGACAAGGAGCTTAGACACATGGAGGCTAAATATTACCTTTATTATTGATAAATGCAAACTGGAGGCTGGTTCTGTGTGGGAGTCCAATGGTATTTCTGACTGGATTCCAGAAATAAAGAGACTGACCTGGTGAACCTTGGCAGTGGCAAAAACAGACTCTTAGTCCCCACTCCCAAGGTATGGCCTAGGCAATGCATGCTGTACCCTCTATGCAGACAGGCAGAGTCCACAGCAGAAGAGGAAAGAAGCAGGGCCAGGGCAGTCTGTGTTTAACCAGAAGACAGGAAACTACACAGTAATTTAAACAGGGAAGCTTAATATAAAGAATTGTTAAGAAGTGATAGTAACTATATAGAACTATACTATTAAGATGAAAAGGGATTTTTAGGGGTCTCTAGCACTGAGGCAGTGTGCCTAAGGAAGGACAAGCTTGAAAAGGGAGGGGTTCATACTTCATGAAAGACCACTGGATGGCAGAGAAGTTTGCTGGGTTGCCTACTCCCCAGATATGACCAGGCAGTTAGATGAGCAGAAGCTGACAGACATTTAAAGGGAGTCGGGGCACCACTGTGGACACTAGTGGAATGTGGAGCTATAGAGGCCCCCCTTTGCAGGAATCTAGCATATATCCATGAAGGGCTTGGGCCTAACAGCTGTTCCTAACAGCTCCTGGTAGTTGTGTGGGACAAAGGTCAGGGTACTGTCTTGCTAGATGACTGGCTGTATGAGGCCCCCAGTGTGCATGTGAAGGGCTTCAGAGAGGGTATAATTAAAATAAAATAGATGAGTGAACAGGAAGCATTACTCACTGCCATTCCCCAGGTCTTTGTTCTGTTAACTCAATGGATATGGGCAAAACCCTGTGGAGTCAATAATTTATTAACATCGCCTTGCTTGCATCTTCATGAGACCACTGCTCCACTACCAACCCTTGCTTCTTGGGGCATCCTTTTGGACTGCTAATAAAAATGTATAGTTTGCATCCAGGAGTCTCTGAATTGGGTCGTCAATACCATATTAGTTTAATTAACCTCAAGGTCTTGCTTTGCCCCAGTGCCAACAGTTCTATGATAATTCTGTGAGTCTTTACTTGACCAAACTTTAGTCAGATTTGAACCTTCTTCTAGATCTATCTTGTGCACTATTATGAACTCTAGATTTAGTAGGAACTCTGCTAAAGTTAGTTGAACTAGCTGCTGCTGCCAAGTCACTTCAATCATGTCTGACTCTGTGACCCTATGGACTGTAGCCCACCAGGCTCTTGTCCATGGAATTCTTCAGGTAAAAATATTGGAATGGGTTGCCATTTCCTCATTTGAACTAGAACTCTTGTAAATTAAAAAATATATATAGAAAAAGTAGGTTAACGGTATATGAACAGAAAACCTACAGAAGAGGAAACCAGATGGACAACAAACATTTGGCATTTCCTTGGTTATTTGTGAGGATGAGCTTTTCAAATGTTTGTTTTCCATCTAGTTTCCTCTTCTGTGGCTTTTTCTGTTTTTGCAGTTCTAATGGAAGTGGCTTTCTCTTACTGCAATGCAGGAGACCCCAGTTTCATCCCTGGGTCGCAAAGGTCCCTTGGAGAAGGGATGGGCTACCCACTCCAGTATTGTTGGGCTTCCCCTGTGGCTCAGCTGGTAAAGAATCCGCCTGCAATGTGGGGGACCTGGGTTCAATCCATGGGTAGTGAAGATCCCCTGGAGAAGGGATAGGCTACCCACTCCAGCATTCTGACCTGGAGAATTCCTTGGACTGTATAGTCCATGGGGTCACAAAGAGTGGGACACAACTGAGCGACATTCACTTCCACTTGTCTTACTGTATCTGGGAGCTCACAGTTAAACATCTGACAAGGTTACCTCACATTTAACTGGCTAGGGTAGAAATAAGCAGGAAAGGGACTGTCTTAGTTTGGGCTACTATAACAAAATATCATAGACTGAGTGGCTTAAACAATAATTTATTTCTCACAGTTGTAGAGGCTGAGAAGCCCCAATAGCAAGTGCTGGCAGATTTGGAAAAGGTCCATTTCCTGGATTGTAGACAGCTACTGTCTCACTCTGCTCACATGGCCTTTTTTTGGTGCACACACAATGCCCCATTCCTTATGAGGGCATTACTTCCACCAGGACTGTACCATCCTCTTGACCTCATCTAAACATAATTAATTTTCTAGGGCCCTATCTCCAAATACCATCACGCTAGGCACTAGGGCTTCAGCACATGAATTCTGAGCTGGGCTGGGGTTCCTTATTTAACTCAACTAACAAAAATCTTTAATGGTATTATGCAGGGATGGGCTTTACTCTGTTCTGAATTCTCATGCTGAAGGACGGGAATTGCAATTTGAACCTATGCAAAGGCTTACTATGTTTGGGGATAGGAAGATAGTATCATAAATATCATTTCTCCCCAAATGTATACACTTCAGGCAATTCTAATTAGAATTTCAAAGGGTTTTTATAATTTGAGAAGACCTACCTTCATTTATCGAGAAAGAAAAATGAAGATTAGCCAATAAAACTGAAAAACAGTAAGGAGTGGGGGACTTACAGTAACAAAATACAATAAGGCTAATGTTAACATTATCCATTAATGTTAGTATAGGAATAGAAAAATAGATGAATGAAGCAAGATAATATAAATAACTCCTGGTGTAAATCAAAATATAAGCCAGTTAAAGTAGAATAAAAGATCATTTGGGTAAAGAATTACATAGCAAAGTTGTTTTTTTTTTTTTTTTAGCAAAGTTTTAGTTGAATAGGAAAAGTATGGTATCAAAGTAATAGGCCGTTCCCACTGACCCATACCTGAAAAGATGACTTTAGATTTGTTTTTCTACTAGTTTCCTTGAAGAAAATACTGGAAATCTCTCATTTGTGGCCTGTACCTGGATGGGATGAACTGTGAACTGGCATGTAGACACTGACTGCCTATATAACTAAGGCATCATAAGCCTTGGGAAACCAAGGTAGTAGCTTCCCTGTGCTTAAGTGGTTATCCCTGTTACAAGTGAGTGTACCCTATTTGATGGTGGCACACCATGCAGATGCCCTGCTTGATGAATGTGCTGGATGAGAATGTTAGTCTCCCAGTGCTGAGGTGAACCACACCTATTCTGACCTTGTCTCCTCTGAGCAGTGTGGGGCAGTGGAAGCTGTGCTTGCTTGAGCACTTGCAAGACTTTCTGATGAACATGCTATAAAGATATTTTCTTGTTAGGACAAAGCTAATAATAAACCTAATGCTAGGTTAAAGCTTATTCTGTTATCTCTCTTCCTCTTTCTGATTACCAGTTCAAATCTGTGATTGTTTCTGGTGGACATGCAGGTGTCAAGAGCTGTTTGACCCTAAACTGACTGCTGGATTATTTTAACAAATTGTGTTTGTACAACTGGCAACCCATCTGGGAGAAAAAAATATGAACCCTCATAAATTAAAAATTCAATTCTAAAAAAAAATTCAATTCCAGATGGGTTAATATATTAATATATTACAAAAAGGAAATAGACAACTTGAAAGAAAACCTAAGAAATAACATATAATGTAAAGATTAAAGTATCTTTATAACTGACCCATACATTTCCTAATATCTAATATGGAAAGAGATCTTCAAAACTGACCAAAAGATAAATAATCCTATAGGAATATAGGCTAACAATATGAAAGTTTACAAAGAAGCAAATCTAGGAACAGGTAAGGTTTATACTCATCAGACAAACATGAATTTTAGTATAATACCACCTATTGTATAGCTGGAGGAAACTTGTTTTGAAAATAACCAATAGCATCTACTAAAATTTTTAAATAGCACATATCCTTTGATCTAGCAGTCTCTTGCCTATAATCTGTCCCCTGGAAATAAAAATACCTAAAATGTAAGGGCCACTTGTAAGGGTGTTTACTTGTGTTGTCTGTCATGGTAAATAACTATAACAAGCTGAATCAGCAGGGAGGATGGGTGAATAAATAAATACACAGTACACACCATCACAGAATACCATGCAGCATCTGCTTATCTTACTCTACCTGACCATTATAATCATTCTTGTTGCTGAGCCGTGGCACTGGCCAACTATATGCACTAAATGGTAATCCTAGTTTGGTCTGGATTAGAGTTCCTAGTTGCTCTGTGACTTCAAAGATGTACCAGCACAAGGGCATAATACTTAAGGAATATCAGAGAATGTTTAATGAAAAATGGAAGAAAAGAGGATAATTTAGATTCATGTAGATGCACATATATGTTACTTGGATACATTACCTCACAAAGTCAACCTATGGCATTTATAATCTTAAAACCAAATATCAAAAATGCCAGTAACAAGCAGTGCAGTGCTATAGTTATATTAGCATAGTATTTTTCTGAGTTTAAGACAAATCGATATATTTGAATGGAGCCTAAGATTTAAATGTTACATACAATCACTATTCAAAAGAAGCATTAACTGTTTCTATATATCAAGTTATTGTGGTAAAGAATAGAAAATCCTCAAGATTTGCTTTTAATAAGAGAATTCTCTTTAGGTCTGAGATCTCCCTTTTCAGTTCCATTTTCCACAAGGAAACAAACTAGAAGTGGGGTGGGGGAGTTGACTGTGTCTGACAAATTAGAGAAAATAACTAGTCTGAGTTAAAAACTGAAGCTGAAATGCAACAGTTGTTTTACTTGGTGTCATACCAAAAAAAAAAAAAAGACTAACATGTTTTCTTCATTTTTAAAATGTCTGATTTCTAATACCAGAACTGGTTATGTGGCCTATTAAAATTTCTGATAAATGTTTCTGAAAAACTATTTCTAACAAGTCTGTGCATGTATTATAAAGTAATATGATCCTTAAATTAATGTGCTTCAATCACCTGTTGCAAAATCATGCTCTCAGAGACCACAGAGATTAGTGATACATTTGACAGTAAATTTAAATAAATGGATGTTAAGTTACCATTAAAATTTTAAATTTTATTTCATGTTTTATAGTAAAGATATGATTTCAGAAATATTTTTTTGCAAAGTATCTGCATCTAATTGGAAATATAAGTCCATTATGACATGTATTCCATGTAGTCTCTCTACTCCTATCCCTATTTTTTTTAATTTTCAGAAGCTTTAAAGAAACAGCATAAACAGAATAAACTCATATATTATTACAATCCAGAATCAACTAATGTTTTCTCATATTTACTTGGAATCTTTATTTTTTTAATAAGATAGATATTTAGATACAAAACTGAAGTATCGTTCATCCACCATGATTGGCCCCATTTCCCTTCTACTCCCTTCCTTTCTAGAGACAACCATTTTTAGGAATTGAGTGTGTATCCTTCCAATCCATTCTTCATAGTTTTACATAAAAATGTTTACCCATAACCAATGCTTTAATACTAGTGTTGGTTAGTGTTGATTTAATTCAAACACAGGTATAGTTATAATATATTCAACACTTCATTTTCACTCTACATGACTTTCAGATCTTTCTGTTAATACATATAGATTTAATTTGTTATACTTAACTGCTAGAGAGTATTCTACAGGGTGACTACATCACATTTTATCAACCATCTCCAAAGTGACAGACATTTGTTTCCAATTTTTTGCTATATTAATATAACTCATGCTGCAATGAACATTAAAGATACAGGACTCCCTGGGTACATGTATCAGTTTCTTCACTATATGTATATATACTCAAGAATGGGTATTCTGGAATGTGTTTTCAAAATTCTTTCCTACTCCAAAGTTTGAAAAAAAATTCTCCTACAAAACTCTTATATTATTAAGTTTTGCTCTTTGAGTTCTAGTCTTCAATACTTTTGAACTTTTTAATAAATACTTTATAATGTATGACAACAGCAAAGTTCTAGTATTTTTCCACATGAAGAATCAATTACCCTGAGACCATTTTTTGAATTATCCAGATTTTTCTACCAATTTGAGATTACCACCTCTATGAACTGCCAATTTCCCTTACAAACATGCATATATTTCTGGATATAATATCCTGGCACAATCTTTGTTTTCAAGAGCAAGTGATTTTGATGGTTATACATGTAGTAAAACATGTAACAAAATAATGACAATTTTGTCTTTGTTTCACATCTTTACACCTTGCATATCTTTGTCTGAATATATCAGGTAGGCCTTCTAGAACCATGTTGATTAGTGTCCATGACTGGATCCTTAATGAGAATGCTCCCAAAAGTCCAGCATGAATATGTTTGTTGTGGGGGTATTGGGGGTATAGGTTTTCATGATAGTATGATAGTTATTTCTCAGTGTATTACATTTTGAGTTGTTGCTGTAGGTTTTTCCATATTCATGTCACTTTACTGTAAAATGAATTTTCTGATATACTGTTTAGTATGACTTCTATTGAAGGTTTTCCTAAACTCAAGACATTCATAGAGCTTTAATGAGTATGAATTCTCTGGTGTCTAATATGATGTGACTTCTGGCTAAAAGCTTTCCCACATTCATTACACTGATAAGGTTTTTCTCCAGTATGGATTCTCATATGCAGAGCAAGAGTTGAGAACTGAGAGAAGGCTTTCCCACATTCATTGCAACCATAGGGCTTCTCACCTGTATGGCTTCTCATATGCACAGTAAGAGATGAGCTTTGACAGAAGGCTTTCCCACATATTTTACATTCATAAGGCTTATCACCTGTATGAATTCTCACATGTACAATAAGTGATGTGATTCGAGAGAAGGCTTTTCCACATTTATTACATTCATAGGGTTTCTCTCCTGTATGAATATTGTGATGTTTAATGAGGTACTGCTTCTGCCTAAAGATTGTTCCACATTCATTACACTTATAGGGTTTCTCTCCAATATGAATTTTCTCATGCTCAGTGAGGTTTGATTTGCCACTGAAGGCTTTTCCACATTCCTTACATATATAAGGTTTCTCTCCTGTGTGACTTCTCTGGTGTCTAATGAGGCTTGACTTCTGAATGAAAGCTTTCCCACACCCTTTACATTCATAAGGTTTCTCTCCAGTATGAATTCTTTGATGGATAATGAGGTTTTCTTTCTGGCTAAAGGCTTTTCCACACTCATTACATTTAAAGGGTTTCTTTCCACTATGGATATTCTGATGTTTGACGAGGTATTGCTTCTGGCTGAAGGCTCTTCCACATTGGTTACATTCAAAGGGTTTCTCTCCTGTATGAATTTTCTCATGCTCAGAGAGATATGATTTGCCACTGAAGGCTTTGCCACATTCTTTACATGCATAGGGTTTGTTTCCAATATGATTTCTCTGGTGTTTAATAAGGCTTGACATCTGAATAGAAGCTTTCCCACATTCATAAGGTTTCTCTCCAGTATGATGTTTTTGATGAGTAAGCAAGTTTCCTTTCTGGCTAAAGGCTTTTCCACATTTATTACATTGATATTTCTTTCCTGTATGACTTCTCAAATGTAGAGTAAGGGATGAGACTCGAGAGAACACTTTACCACATTCAGTACATTCATGTGATTTCTCTGCAGTATGCATTTTCTTATGCTCTGTGAGGTTTTGCTTCAGGCTAAATGTTTTTCCACACTCATTACATTCATAAAGTTTCTCTCCAGTATGAATTTGATCATGCTGAAGGAGATCTGATTCAGGCCGAAGGCTTTCCAGCATTCTTATCATGCACAGGTATTTTCTCCAACAAGAATTCCTTAGTATCTCTTGACATGTGACATAGGTGAAAGCTTTCCCACATTCAACATATGCAGATGGTTTCTCTCCAATAATAATTCTCTTCTAACAAAGTTGAATTTATGATGGAAGACTTTTCACACTGGTTATCCTGAGGTCAGATGATTATAAATTGGGATGAAATGTAGCATCCTCATTATATTCTTAATGGTTCTTTCTTAGATAGCTTCTCTCACTTAAGTGTAAGTTATGTCCAAATTTTTAAACTGAGTTCCATACATAGAGTAGTAGTCTTAAAGAATCAATGTCTGTGCTCAGAGGAAATACTTTTCTGAGGTTTTTTTTTTAGCTGTATTTTATGAAGTTGTCTGAGTTTTTCTTTAATTGTATTTTCTGAGTTTTTCTTAGCTGTATTTTCACAAAGAAGGATGCAACTTAACTCAAAGGTCTTTCCTGTGGTATCTTTATTTATTTATACATTTCCCAGGCCTTTTCTGAAAGGGAGTACAAAAAAAAGATCATTGAAAAGAGTAACTAACTGTAAAATATTTAATGCCTGGCATCTAGTGAACATCTAATAAGGTAGCTATCATCATCATCATCATCATCATTATCACACTTGTGAACTTCTCCACTATTTTTAATAAAATTTCAGAAATGTACAATTTAGGGCTTCTCTTGTGGTCCAGTTGTTAAAAGTCCACCTGCCAACGCAGGGGACATAGTTCGATGCCTGGTCCCACATGCCATGGAGCAACTAAGCCCACAAGCCACAACTTCATTTCCCAGGCCTTTTCTGAAAGGGAGTACAAAAAAAAGATCATTGAAAAGAGTAACTAACTGTAAAATATTTAATGCCTGGCATCTAGTGAACGTCTAATAAGGTAGCTATCATCATCATCATCATCAGTATCACACTTGTGAACTTCTCCACTATTTTTAATAAAATTTCAGAAATGTACAATTTAGGGCTTCTCTTGCAGTCCAGTTGTTAAAAGTCCACCTGCCAACGCAGGGGACATAGTTCGATGCCTGGTCCCACATGCCATGGAGCAACTAAGCCCACAAGCCACAACTACTGAGCCTGCATGCTGCTACTCCTGAAGCCCGAGTGCCTAAAGTCCATGCTCCGCAGCAGGAGAGGCCACTGCAGTAAAAGGCCTGCTCCTTGCAATGAAGAGTGTCCCCCACTCACTGCAGCTAGAGAAAGTCCCAGTGCAGCAGCAAAGACCCAGCACAGCCAAAAGAATAAAAAACAGTGCCGTTTAAAAATAGACTTTTAATTTCAAACCTAACCTAACAGTATAAAAGAAAGCTCAAGTACAAATGACACCCATGGGTACATTAGCTTAAACTGGTTCTAAATGAAACAATGTATACTTTATAAATCAGTAAAATAAGGGAAAACATAAAGAACAGGTGACAGGATGAAAGACAAACATAACACTGTAAAGTGTACAATGAAGGGATAAAAAATGAATAGGAGTATTATTAAAGGGATGTGTGGTTAAATAAGATGTTTATTTCTACATCTTCCTGAAGCTCCATTAAAATGACAATAAGGGGATGAAGGGCATTATTCATAAAAATTGAAAGGCTGAGGAAACAACAATGGATGAAAGTATTAGGAAATGTTGAAAGGAAAGCGAATAAAGGACTAAACCACAAAACTGAGAGGCTTAAATAAAATGCTAGTAGATGAGGATGCCACTTAGATGAAAGGTAATTTGTGACACAGCTGTTGACAAAAAGGCTCTATAACTTTATGGACAGATTGAGTAAGAACTGAAAGTGGCTTATAAAATTATTACATAAGGAGAAGCTGATGCACCCAACTCTCCTAACTGGAAGGAAGTTGGAATTTATTATCCAGAAAAGTGTAACTGAGAAACTCCAAATTTAGTTTTGACAGAGAAAGTAGATGAGAATGCCATACTGAAAGAGGGTGATAAGTAAAAATTTATATATAGTATAGAATCCCAACTTCTTTCTACTGCTAGACTACAGGAATGCTGGTAGTTGCCAGGTGTCAGATATGGAAGGGTTCTTGTCTGAAAAAATGAGAAAATCATGAGAACCCTGATAGATACTGACATTTGGAGTCATAGAAAAGAAAGACATATATCCAACTGAATGTGTACAGTGAAGCCACCATTTTAACAGACCTACTCATGGACACTGATTATAATCATCACAGAAAATATGAAAAATGAATGCAGGAAATTTTCTTGAGCCCCATCTTTCTTATTAGGGTGTTGATAATGATTAAAATTGACTGTATTTAAAATAGGTAAAACAGCTATATGAAATGTGAGGATAAACACCAATAGACACAGTCAGATGAGTTTAAGGTGGCTGTCTACATGAAGCAAGAACGGTGGGTAAGGAAGAATGGAGTAAGCACAGCTATAATCCTATCTGACTTCTAAAACCTCCAATTTGTTATACCTACAGAAATTTCCTTGAAGACTTAGGCCTTTTAACTTGAATCAATCTAGAAATGTGTAATAACTATAGACAGTGCTTTTTTACCTACTTACAACTGAGTTTCACATGGGCTAAACAGCAAAGTACATATACATTTAATGGGAAAGGTAAAAAAAAGAAAACATGGCAGAAAATAGCCATCTTTGCTTCCAAATCTGATTTTTATTTCCATTTTGATTACTGATACTGTCATTTCTGGATACTGAAACTGTCACTGCCATCAAATTTCAGTTTTCATGTATTTTTCTTCTTTCATTATGCCTGATATTCTGGCACCCAAGCTCTTTTTTGTCAAGGACTCTATACTTGCCCTCTCTAAATCCTTTCTTTTGTAGCTGTTTTCCACCCGCTCTCTCGAAACCTTTGACATTATCCTTATTTATCCATCTCAAAATTTTATCCTCATTTTCATATAAATAATTTTAAGAACTGACTAGTAATATGCTGCCACTCTTATCAATGCTGTAATTTCTATAATTAGAAAAAAATAACCTGAACACTCACTGCATGCCATAAGCAAAAATTCACTCAAAATGAATCACAGACCACAGCATGAGCATTAAAACTATTAATAAATATAAAAGAAAAAATGGTAGACTTCATCAAAACTAAAAACTAATTAATGCCCTTCAAAAAACACAGTTAAGAAAACAAAAACAAAAGCCATAGACTGGGAGGAACTAATAAAGGGCTTCTCTCCAAAATATATAGAACCGCTAAAACTCAATAATAAAAAGATAAAAACAATTTAGTTTTTTAAATGGGAGAAAGACTAGAATAGACATTTCACAAAATAAAACGTATCAATGGCTAGAGAATCCCATGGACAGAGGAGTCTGGCTGGCTGCACTCCATAGGGTCACATAGAGTGGGACATGACTGAAGCAACTCAACATGCGCCGTCGAATTTACAATGAAGTGAATTTACATTTCAATGTAGTGAAAAATACAAACCCAAGAGAGTATATATTAATACTTAAGATCCAAGTTACTCTGTATCTGAGATGGGAGATACAAGGATTAGAGAGATTGGGCTAGAAGTAAGAGACAGTTCAATAAAAATGAAGTTTAAGATTGAACAGTGGATAAGATTTTGATAAATGGATCACTGCACAATCAAAGGCAAAGATGCCAAGAATTTCATACACATGACAGGGGCGATAAGAACGGTACAACTGTTACTATTTAAAGCTGGAATAATAATCACAACATGATGAAGGGAAGAGGGAGACTGAAAATATATACATTGTAAAATGTATAAAATATACATCACTCCTAGTGATAGTAAATAGGTATTATCTAAAATCAAGGATGAAGACTAAGAAAATTATGAATATAAAAGCAAACACAAGAAAGAAAAAAAATAAACTTCCCAAATGCTCAGGAAGATATATATCACAACAAAGATCCTACAGCAAAAAAAAAAAAAAAATCCTACAGCAAAAGATAAAAGATGAGGCAGAATTTAAAACAGTAGGGAATGCCCTAGCGGTCCAGTGGTTAGGACTCTGTGCTTTCACTACTAAGGGCATGGGTTCAATTCCTTGTTAGGGAACCAAGATCCCACAAGCCATGACGTGTGGGCAAAAAACCAAAAAAGAATTTAAAACAGTACAGAAAATTAGAATCAATACCAACCATACTGCTCCTGTCAAAAAATGCAAACAGAATAATAATAACTATTAAAAAATCTATGATAGGCTCATGTAGAAAATTCTCAGCCCTCAAGCCAGACCTCCTGAATCTTAAAAAAGCTGTGGGTGGGGCCCAGTAGTCTGTATTTAACAAGCCCTTCAGGTGATTTTTTTTTTAAAAGATTTATTATATGCTTATTTATTTTATTCTTTGGCTGAGCTGAGTCTTGATCGCTTTGCCCAGGCTTTCTCTGGTTGGGGTGAGTGGGGGCTACCTTTCTAGTTGCAGTGCGTGAGCTTCTCATTGTGGTGGTTTCTCTTGTTGCAGAGCACATGCTCTAGGCTTACAGGCTCAGTAGTTGTGGCTCACAGGCTTAGTTGCTCTGTGGCATGTGGGATCTTCCCAGAGCAGGGATCAAACCCAAGTCCCCAGCATTGGCAGGCAGATTCTTAAGCACTGGACCAGCAGGGAAGCCTTCTCCAGGTGATTTTGATGCATGCTAAAGTTTAACAACTGATATAGCAAATCCCCCCTAAACTGTATATAAGATATGCTTCTAAAATAATATATCAGAACTGCTGAAAATAATGACTAAAAATAAAATAAAGATAATCATGAATATATAAACTATAGAAATCCAAGATACAAAAACATTAGCAACTGAGAAGTCTACCTCTCTCAACCTAGGAGATCAGATCCATGAAATATGAGAATATATATGAAATGGGAACATGAAATAAAAATATGTACTAATTTATAATATAGAACTAACTAGTTTATTCTGTATCTTGAAAATAGTGAAACATCTTTTAAAATGCTCAGAGAACATTCT